CTCCTTCTAATCAACTTTACTAGATCTAATTTTTTATTTAATAAAAAAAGATATAATAATTAATTGATAAAATTTTATATTTATCCATAATTAATCCCCACTTAAATAAGTTTTTCTTATTTAGGGTTTGTTTAGTATAATAATTAAAATCCAAAAAATAGTAAGTAACAAGTAATGGATAGCGGACAATAATAGTGGGTAGTGGTGGTAGTTAGCAAATAGTGGAAAATGGATAGTAGATTTTGATTGCTATAATCATTTAGTTATATAATGTTTTGTAATTGTTATTTAACATTAAATAATTAATAGAGATATGTTTAAAAGAAATTAAGTTTTTTTTTGAAAATATTTTTTTCAGTATTAAAGTGTTAAATTTTATAAAAATAAATAAATAAATAAAATATAAAAGTATAAATTACATGCTTATTTTTATTTTTAACAAAAAAGTATTATTTTAAAATAAAGGGAAAACAAATTTTTAATCATTTCTTTAAATTAGCAAATTTTTTTTATTAAACTAATATAATTTGTTTATGATAAGATGATATAAAAAATAAAAATATAATAATTATTTAATAATATTAAAAAGAAATTTGAAATCAAAATGAATTATATAAGTACTAATTAAAAACTATGGTAAAAAATTTAAAAATTAAAATAGATAAATTTATCAATATAATTAAAAATTTTCGATATGATAATGATTTAATACAAAGAGCTACTTAATATAGTTTTTTCAATTTACTAACGGTTTAAACCTTAAATGCTATTTGTTAGTCTTAAATTACTAAAAAAAATTTTTTTACCAAACATTATATTTGTAGGGGTTTTGAAATAAAAAAAATTTTACCAATAACTATCTTATGGTTGTTTGAATAAAATTGCCAACAACTACTTCAAAACCATTATACCTAACAAGCGGAGGTTATTTTTTTCAATCTATTGGTGATTTAAATTCTAATTACTATTCACTACTTCTAAATTATTAAATAAAAAAAATTTATCAAGCATCTAATTTATAGTAATTTCAAAATAAACAAATTTGTCAAAAAAAATAGTGTTTATCAGTTTTATCTCTTAAAAATTAGGAAGAAAATCATTCCAAAATTA